GAATGGCCCTAAAAACTGGAGAGGTATACCATGTTAATCAATTGGAAGACTCGATTTTGCTAGGATGTCAAGTCTCCCTAAATAGATTTGTAGATATAATGCAATTCTAATCAAAATCTCATCAGGATTATTGATTGATTGATCGATTGACTGATTGAGACAGGGTCTCATTCTATCACCTGGGCTAGAGTACAGTGCATCATGATAGCTCACTGCAACCTGAAACTCCTGAACTCAAGTGATCCTCCTGCCTCAGCTTCCAAGTACCTAGCACTACAGGCAGGCATCATCTCACCCAGATCTTGTTTTTCTTACTTTTTGTAGACATAGGGATCTCACTCTGTTGCTCAGGCTGGTCTTACACTCCTGGCTCCGGGTGATCCTCCTGCCTCAGTCTCGCAAGGTGTGAGTCTCAGTGCCCGGCCCCAGCAGGATTATTTAGATGTTGACAAGCTGATTCTAATACTTAACACAGGAAGTCAAAGGAGCTAGAATAACCAAAACAATTTTGAAAAAGGCAAATTTGGAGGATTTATACTATATAATTTTAAGATATATGATAGAATACTGTACAATAATGAAGAAAGTGTATAGGGATCTAGATAATGTGGTTTTGGCAAAATGATGGGCACACAAATCAATGGAGTAGAATAGGGATCTAGAAATAGGCCCACACAGATATGGTTAATTGATTTTTTTATAATAGTACAAAGGCAGTTTAATCAAGAAAGGCTATTTGACACATGATTCTTTCTTCATATGCAAAGGTTAATTTCAACCTATACAAAACCATATGCAAAAATTAATTCTAAGTGGATTATGGACCTAAATGTAAAATGTAAAACTCTAAAACTTTAGAAGAAAATGGAAATCTTTGGGAATATAGGCTAGACAAAAATCTATATTTCTTAGCTATAAGCACAAGCCATATAAAAAAATTCAACTAATTGGACATTATCAAAATTAAAACTTTGGTTCTGAGAAAGACACTGTTAAAAGAATAAAAACAAGCCAATATTGTATTGAATGGAGTTAAGTTGAGATCATTTCCACTCAGATCAGGAATGAGGCAAGGTTGCCCATTATCTCCGTTGCTCTTTAACATTGTAATGGAAGTTTTAGCCATTGCAATCAGGGAAGAAAAAGTGATTAAGGGCATCCATATAGGGTCAGAAGAGATTAAACTTTCACTCTTCACAGATGATATGATTGTATCTCTGGAA